GATATCCATTTTGGTCTTTGTCATCCATTGCCAGGACGTTGTCAATGATTTCTGAAACAAAAACAAGAAAAGGCATCACTACGGGAATGCAGAAATTTCTTTAATGAAATTAGTAGAATGTGTAGAGCTACAAAATAAAACAGTCGATCACGAGGGGCCGCGTTAGCGCAGTCGAAAGGAGCTCGCTTTGAAACCCAGCTGCGACTCGCTGCAACCCACCGCCTCTGTTTGAAACAGGATGGTTCCCGGGGTTCACCCAGCCTCTAGGGAATGGGTACCAGAGTTAACACTCTGGGGTAAATGGAGGAACGTCGCTGTAGCTACGGTATTGCGTGCGGACGGCATTACAGGCGGACAGCTGTTCGTAATGGTGGCAGAGCACATATGGTTTAAAGCCGTGTGCAATGACACTGGTTCACATCTCCCGACTTTACCTTTACCTTTCAGTCAAGCAGCATGTTCTTTACAGAACGTCGCTCTCTTCACTGCACGCCTGAAAGTATCTCTTTCTCTAGTCAATTCTCCAGCCCTATGTGCTGTCATAGAAAATGCATTTTCAATGTCCTCTATCCACTTTCTCGGTGATCGGCCTCTGTCTGGCCTTTCAATAACTACCCTCCATCACCATTCTCTCTAAACCCTGGTGGCGCTTGACAAGTCTAAAGTACCTCAGTTTTCGAGAGAGGATGCTGTTTACAAGCCAGTTCTCCTTGATGTTGAAATTCCGCAGGTTACATAATAGTTAACAATACACAACTCCAAAGATATTTGGGGGAGGGGGGAGTAGAGGTTCTGGGCGCTGAGTAGCCCTGAGCCATGGTGTCAGCCTATATAAGTGCTCCATTCTACTTCTGACTCAAGCCTGAGTCTGAAGAATCTCAGCACAGTGCACGAGCTCCGTTGCACCGGCGAGAATCCTTAAATTCTTTGAATAAATTTTACCCGGCTACTCTTTTTCGATTTCCAACTGCCAAGGGATTTTGTACGTGCGCAACAATACACACAGGCGTCTGGTCTTACTACTCTGAGACCAGGGGAAAGAAATAGAAGTTCACTTGAAAAAAATCCCAGCTTTCACCGGGGTTTGAACTCGGGATCTCCGGGTCTTGAGGCGGACGTGATGCATCGACACCACGCAGCCCCCATATAAACCCTGTCAATACCCTTAGAGAGATAAGACGTTCATGGATTTTGGAAGCAACGTATCCACGTCACTGTTGAGAATCCAAGAATTAGGAGTTAAGATCGGCACAGCCAAGCATGAGAAGCACACAGGACACACACGAAGTCTTGTCAACCAGCATAGACTAGAACTATTCAATGCGCAATTCTGATGAATATGCTGAGAGGGGAATGAGCATCTATGGATGTGTCCGGAGTGCTGTGAAGATAATCCAACTCATAACTTAGAAACTCTTGTGTGGGTTCTGGGGCCCCATTGAAGGTAAAACAAGAATAGGCCCATTGCCTCCCCAAGAAGCATGTCGTAAAAGTCGACTAACTGAGAACTTCCTTTTAATTCTGAGTGCATCTGCCTGAGAGGCAAGGAACCAGCAGTCTGCATACAAATGAGTCAGATCTGTAAAACAGATGCACACGCAAAACTCGGGTCCTGGAACAAAGCCAAAGTCCAGAAATGGACGAACAACCAGGTCTTTCCACCAGAGTTTATAGCTGTTGGACGCAAACAACAAACAACAACAACTTAAAACACTGTCCTCCGGAAAGACGAAAAGGTGCCAGTCAATCACCCAACCAATTTAGAGCTGTTGTCCAACCGATACACTAATTACAGTTCTGAAAGTGTCTACTCACGGACGTAATTATTCATCATCTCTCTAGTTCTCTCATTCTTCATGTGCTCCACTTCGACTGCTGTCTTCCCGCTGATCTCATGGGGTGAGAAATCCATCGGAGGTAACATGTGGCTCAAGGCTTTCAACAGTTCAAGGCCATCAAGCATCGTGTCGTTATTCGTATCGTGCAACCTGTTTGATGAAAGTCAATTCACATCTTATCACTGTCAGTATCCAGCAACGCTCTGTGCGTTTATTATCCCAGAGGGCTTAGCTCAGAGGCACGAGGGGTGATAATGCAATTTTGAAATATCACGAGTGTTATACATTAACACTGAACATACAACGCTCGTTTAGTTTTAGTACGGGCCCATGTTTGACACTGATAGCACAATGTCGACCAGAAACATACTACGACTAATTCAAATGCCTCGCAACATACACATACTATGCATTATAATGACTATACATTTCTTACCTTCTTTTATTCTTTTTTCTTTTACAAAAACCCATTTTACCCAAGTGGTTATTGCAACTCATTATGAACTATTCCTCCCCCTCCCCCTAATTTTGACATTTTGCCCCCCCCCCCCCCCCCAGCAGCCTGCTGAAGTTCTGACCCAGTCAGATTACTAAATCTTCATCGGGATGACAGATGCCTCTTCTCTTCCATCATTTACCTTAGCGAGGTGTGTGTGTGTGGGGGGGGAAGGGGGGGGGGGGTTTGTAAGGATCGTTTGTGCACTTTTTCCAATGCATTTTGTAAGTTGGTATCCATTTCTGTCAGGTTGCTCCTAATAATGCCATACCATCTCTTGCGTGGTCTCCCCATTGCTCTGTGTTCATTTGTTCACTATATATTTCTTCAGCTTGACTCTCTGTGGCAGTTGGTACCAAGGTATTGTCGTTAGGTGGCCAAACCATCTTAGTTGTTGTTCTTTAATGAATTGTTTGCCTGGTTTTAGTCCTAATCTTTTTCTAATTTCTTCACTCTTGATTTTGTCTCTTCCTATTACACCGGCAGCTTTCCTAAGACATCTAATCTCTGTGGATACGATCTTCCGCTCGTTAGTTGTACTAAGGATCTATGTTTTGCACTGGTAGCAAAATGCCCCCCCCCCCTTCCTAAAAAAAGTTTAAGTTTGATTTGCTTTGGTTAACATATGTTTCTTTCTATGCGATAGAAGCAGTGTTAATTGTCCCATAACCTGATTTGCTTTCGCATATCGTATGTTGATTTCTGTATCCATTCTTCCTTCTGAGGCCAGATTAACATGGCAAATCCCAGATGTCCCGTTCAAGCTCCGAAGAAATTACCAGCATAACTAAAGCACATGTGAAAACTTAATCAGCCTGCAGTCCTGTGTAGATAAGGATTTGTAACCCCTTTTGCTTCAGATAATCAGCATCTTAACCAGTGTTGCCACTTTTCTTTAAAAGAAAACATCCAAAACGGAGTCAAAAAATATCTAAAAACATCTAAATTTGCGTGGAAAACATCTATTAAAAACATCCAAATGGAAAGAGTCGCAAATTACATAGCAAGTGATATGAATTACCCTACTGAATCATGCCCTCATCTTTACTGGTCTGTCTTACAAGATCCACAGGATAAACTTAGCTTGGATGATGAAGTTGAAGCTTTAGATCCAAAATAACTTTGGTATGCTTTAGCTGTTCCAATTTTTTTAAATACCCAGTCAGGCAGCTGATAAGTTGAACAGCTTTTTCCTACTCCTATCAGGTCGAATTTTATTGTCAAGATAGCATTTAAGAGGTCAAATTTCATCCTGCTTCTTAGGTTAGATTTGATAAATTCACCTCAAATGAAAAACGCCTAGAAAAACATCTACCATCTAAACGTCAAAAACGCCATCTAAATGCAAGAGAAAACATCTAAATCTGGATGTAAAACATCCAATTCTATACATTAGAGTCCTATGTAGTCACCTCATAATTAGAGCCTATTTGTGTATGTGTACTGTGTTGTCCTTTATGTGCTGATGAACGCTAATCGCCGCAACGTCCTTTGTTTGTTTATTGTGATCGATTTTGTAAAGCTAACATAAACTAATTGTTGTTTCTTACCAACTTTTTCTCTTCCCTATAATTTTCTACTCCTTATAAAAACGAGACATGTGGCAAAATGATTAATTACAAGTTACCCAAACTAATGCTTCACGTGGCTTCTACAGGTCACGACATGCTATTTACTTGCGAATATGAGTCTGTAGAAAAAGACTATCACTGTTTTAATTACTAAAGTTTAGTTGCGTATCCTTTACAGGACGTTGCAGAGCCAACCCCAGCACTTTCTGGCTGTTGTGTGGTTTCTCTAGGCAAATTTACGTCCAGTAGTTTGTCATTCCTTTCTGGACGGCCTGCCCCATGATACCACTGTCGAAACCAGCGCAAGGCGCATGGCCCGCATCTGGGATCGAACCCGGCATCCCGGCATAACGAAGCATTCGCATCGACTTAGCCACAGAGCCGACGTTTTAATTACTACACAAAAAATTAATGGGAGCAGCCATGGTGAAGCGGCTAGACTATTTCCTGCGGATCGGAAGGTCGTGGGCAGGTCCTAGCGGAGCCGTACTGTTTTCAAAAATGACCGTGGCTCCCATGTCGACCCAGCCCTAAACTGGTACTAGATACAATCCTGGGAAGTAAAGGCGGTCAGCGTGATGTTGCCTCATAATCCACTTAATGCTAACTGTTCTATATAACATATATAGGCCTAGCCCTAGGCCTATGCCCCATACGTATACGTCTTAACGCGTGGAAAAGGATTCTTCAAGTGTTAGCCCGGCTCGTAAGCGTAGTTGTTAAACAAGACTTCGCGGCGATCGGGTAGCGAACTCCTTGTGGTCCGAATTCACGCCCAGGGGGTAGGCCACATACCTTCGAGATTTACTATATTTGTCATGGAATCAAGGCCGAAGGGTTGCGATATCTATAGTACTGAGCCAAAGATTCATAGTTTCTGGATTTAAATAAATAAAAAAAAAAAAAAAAAACTAAGCGTTAATGGACTTCAAACAAACAAGCAACTCAAATGACTTGCCTGAAGTAATGGAACTCCATCTCTTCTGCTGTCATTGTTTTATCTGTGTTTATCTCCCCTTGCATGTGCTGTTTCAGATGTCTGTAGATCAGTTTTGAACATACAGAATTGTGTTTGTCTAACAAAACGTAAGAGAA